GGGAGCCCGCAGTCCTACGAGGAGCTGCAGACGCAGCGGGTCATGGCCAACGTGCGGGAGCGCCAGCGCACGCAGTCGCTGAACGAGGCGTTCGCCGCGCTGCGGAAGATCATCCCCACGCTGCCCTCGGACAAGCTGAGCAAGATCCAGACCCTCAAGTTGGCGGCCAGGTACATCGACTTCCTCTACCAGGTCCTCCAGAGCGACGAGCTGGACTCCAAGATGGCAAGCTGCAGCTATGTGGCCCACGAGCGGCTCAGCTACGCCTTCTCGGTCTGGAGGATGGAGGGGGCCTGGTCCATGTCCGCGTCCCACTAGCAGGCGGAGCTCCCCACCCCCTCGGCAGGGCCGGAGACCTAGGTAAGGACCGGCGCCTCTGCGCCCCTTCGCCGCTCAGGTGGCAGAAGGACTGACGGCCAGGCCGCGGGTCCCTGCCCACCTCGCCTTCCTCCCCTCCCAGCTTTCCTCCCAACCTCCTACCGCCACCTCCTCCCCGGAGCGTCCCTGGAGGCAGTTCGGGCCGGCCAGGGAGAGAGGGCTGCGCCCTTGTGAGGGGTGTGCATGTGCGTGAGTGTGCGTGACAGGAGGGAAGACTGAGAGTCAAGGGTCACGGGTAAAGACAGCCTTGCCAGCTCCTCCCTTTCTTTTGGCTTTAAAGTTTTCATTCTCCTTAGAACCAACGTCTCCAAATTCCACCTCCTCCTACTTTCCGCCCACCCACTTCCTCTTGCCCTTGGGCTGAAATCCTTCCAGGTTGTTCAGCGTAATTTCTCGGTGGTGGTGATAAGGACAGTGCTCACTAGTCTTAGAAAACAGCCACTGAGACCTAAACAATAACCAACTTTACCCCTTTTGGGTTTTTGCAGATGTCATTGTTTCCAGAGAAGGAGAAAATGGACAGTCTAGAGACTCTGGAGCTGGATAACTAAAAATAAATATATATATACCAAAGATTTTCTTGGAAATTACAAGAGCAGAACCCAAATCCAAAGAAACAGGGCGTGGGGCGCACTTTTAAAAGAGAAAGCGAGACAGGCCCGTGGACAGTGATTCCCAGACGGGCAGCGGCACCATCCTCACACCTCCACATTCTGATAGAAGTCTGAACAGTTGTTTGTGTTCCCTTTTTTTTTTTTTGACGAAGAATGTTATTTTTATTTTTATTTTTTCATGCATGCATTCTCAAGAGGTCGTGCCAATCAGCCACTGAAAGGAAAGGCATCATTATGGACTTTTCTCCATTTTAAAATGGTAACAATCAGAGGAATATTAAGAACGCCTTTAGAAATAAAAATACTGGGATCAAACTGACTTGCAAAATCACAGTCAGTTAATTCCTTTTTTCTTTTTTCGTTCTTCCTCTGAGGGAAAAAAAACTTAAAATACAAAAAACAACATTCTATTTATTTATTGATGACCCACGGTAAAATGCAAATAGATCCGGTGTCTAAATGCATTCATATTTTTATGATTGTTTTGTAAATATCTTTGTATATTATTTTTCTGCAATAAATAAATATGATTGAAAATTTTAAGAACCTTAGAGTTTGGTCTATATTTTTAAAGCTCAGGATTAACTTGGAGGTAAATACCTGCTTGTTTAACTCTGGAGGCACCCATGAGGGAGGGGGTACTAATATAAACAAAGCAGTGAAAAACTCAAATAAACTAGCTACTGACAGGTACAGGCATGTTATTTAGAAAGACAGCTTTATTATTATTCCAGTTTGGTGTTCAGTGGGCTCAGAAGCATCTCTCCTTCATCTCTTATCAGGTCCTCAACAAAAACATAAATTTGTTATTCACCTCTCATATTTTGAGAAGGCAACTGTAAAACAGTTAAAATACAAATAAATAATATGAAGCCATTATTTTCTGTGTGTTTTTGTCATGCCCTTCACTTCTTGTCAGGACTTTTAAATAGGTTCATTTCAGTGAAAGGATGTATAGTGTTATTAAAATTACACTCACACATAAATGAATACAAATGCATAGAAAATAATACAGTAATTCAGCAG